CAAAAAAGTGCAAAAAATTGAGATTTATAGTGAGTGAAGCATTAGCCGAAACATGAGAAAACATTAAAAACATATCGAAACCTTCCTTTTTTTCTTTTAGATGCCAAATTTAGGTAAAAATACAAAATTAGGAACAAGAAAGAACTCAAAAGTTTCAAAAATTCTGCCTTTTTTTGATTTTTTCCATAAAATTTGTTTTTACATTCTCATCAAAAATGAGAAAGTCTTGGATTTGTGCGATTTTGAGCAATGTCTAATTTTGCTAAATCTTTACGTTTCATGACCCCCTGATTCCAAAAAAATGGTTTTTAGAAAAGTGTCTGTCCGTCTGTCTGTCTGTCTGTCTGTAGAAAAATTTGTCGCCACGATAACTCGAATAAATTTTTATGAATCGTCTTGCAATTTGGCACACTTTTTTAGTCCATAAAAATGAAGCCTGAGTTCGTTGGGCAGCCCATTTCGTCAAAAAACAACAAAAATACAAAATTTTGAAATTTTCAAAATTTTGTATTTTTTACAATTTTCAAAAAAATATTTTTTTAAAATTTTTTCCTTAAATTTGGTGCAAAAACAAACAACTTTTCCTTTAGACACTTTTCAGTACAACAAAAAACAAAAAAGTTATGAATTTTTTAATTTTTTAAAAATTTGCTATTTATTGCTTTTTTTGGACTTTTTGTCAGCCTTCTCTTCAGTAGAAAATTTGTCATATTGGGGCCGTGTTAATAAAAATTAGTTCACATTATGCTAATACACCTTTCTTAACATTAGAATCGACAATTGCATCTTTTACACAAATTAAAAAAATTTTTTTCCAAAAAAGTGCAAAAAATTGAGATTTATAGTGAGTGAAGCATTAGCCGAAACATGAGAAAACATTAAAAACATATCGAAACCTTCCTTTTTTTCTTTTAGATGCCAAATTTAGGTAAAAATACAAAATTAGGAACAAGAAAGAACTCAAAAGTTTCAAAAATTCTGCCTTTTTTTGATTTTTTCCATAAAATTTGTTTTTACATTCTCATCAAAAATGAGAAAGTCTTGGATTTGTGCGATTTTGAGCAATGTCTAATTTTGCTAAATCTTTACGTTTCATGACCCCCTGATTCCAAAAAAATGGTTTTTAGAAAAGTGTCTGTCCGTCTGTCTGTCTGTCTGTCTGTCTGTAGAAAAATTTGTCGCCACGATAACTCGAATAAATTTTTATGAATCGTCTTGCAATTTGGCACACTTTTTTAGTCCATAAAAATGAAGCCTGAGTTCGTTGGGCAGCCCATTTCGTCAAAAAACAACAAAAATACAAAATTTTGAAATTTTCAAAATTTTGTATTTTTTACAATTTTCAAAAAAATATTTTTTTAAAATTTTTTCCTTAAATTTGGTGCAAAAACAAACAACTTTTCCTTTAGACACTTTTCAGTACAACAAAAAACAAAAAAGTTATGAATTTTTTTTTTTTTTTTTTTAAGTTCTTGGTCCAGGTATATTTTTTAAGTTTTTGGGCCAGATTTAGCCAAACGGTTTATCTAGAACTAAAAAATTTTATTTTCATATCAAAATATTTTTTTTTGTCTCTCAACATTGTTTAGAAATATTGCTTTACATATTACTCAGAAATTTTTTTTTAAAGCTATTAAAAATTTAATTTTTTAGTATTTCTAAATTAAACAAATTTTTTTTTGAGTTCTGGTTAACCGATATAAAATTCGAAATATGATTTTTTCATTTTCAATTGCACTATTTGAATATATTTTTTGTTTTTAATCATTTTTACATTATTATCACATGAGAAAGTATTAGTTTTGGTCGAAAATTGACTTTCGCTAATTTCTTGAAATCTCGACGTTTTGGAGTCCCCTGAGTCTGTTAAACATGGTTTAGAAGTTGTGCTGGTGTAACCCCTTTTTACATTTCAATTTTTGGTCCTATCTTGTTGGAAATGGTTTTTTTCATTCTCATCACATGAGAAAGTAATATACCAGAGTAACTTTTCTAGGAGATAAACACTTAATTAAAACAAAAATGTCTGAGTAAATAAACAAAGAGTGAAAAGTTAGTCATTACGCTCCGGTCTACACTACACAAAAAATTTGATACTAATTCTTTAAAAATATTTTAGCTGCTTTTGCAAATCATGTTTTTACTAAGAGAGTTAGTATAATTAAAAATAACTTTACAATTTTAATCATCAAAACCAAAAATATACATTTAAATTCACTTAATATCGCAATCATCAGCAAACTAAAACATGTGATGAGAATGTAATCCTTAAAGTCGTAGTAACTTTAAGAAAAAAAAACTGTTTAATGAAACATATAATAGGAAACAAGAACATAAATAATGCACAACAATTACAGACCCCGGCGAGCGAAGCGAGCCATTTCCGCGCGAAGCGCGCAACAACACACGGAGCGCGAAGCGCGACGTGCGAAATAATCGCCGGAGCGCGAAGCGCGACGATCAATAATCGCGCGCCCCGAGGCGCGCTGAAACTTGCGAGCGAAGCGAGCCCCCGCGCGAAGCGCGGATGAGAATGTGTCCGCGCTTGCGCGGACAGATTTTTTTTGGTTAATGTGAGCATTTTTTGAGTACAATGGGGTGAGAATATGTGGAAATTAATGTAATAATTTTTTTCTCTTTGAGAAATTTTGATTTTTAGCGTTATTTTCGGATTTTTGAGTATTTTTTTGTTATTTAAGAGCCTATAACTCCGAAATTTGACTTTCTATGAAAAAATGTTGTAGAGGAAAGTTGTTTGTATTTTTCTAATCTAAAGTAATATAAAGTTAAAAACATTGAAATTTGAAAAAATTGAATTTTTAAATTTTTGAAAGTACTGTAGTTTGTGTAATTTTCGACGAAAATGGCTGGCTAACGAACTCGATCTGTATTTTAACACTAACTTTGTGCATGCAAAGTTGCAAGTTGATACAATAAGTTTTTCAAAAGTTATCGTGGCGACACCATTGTGTCTACAGACAGACACGAAGACAGACATACGGACAGACACTTTTTTTAGACCATGTTTTTCGGACTCAGGGGACCCCAAAACGTCGAGATTTTATGAAATTAGCGAAAGTCAATTTTCGACCAAAACTAATACTTTCTCATATGATGAGAATGTAATAAAAAATTAGTTTTTTGCAAATAAGTCGAAAAGTTTTAAGTTTAGTGAAAAGTTGTCAACAGCAAAGTTGTAGCTGATGGTAAGAGGAGAAAAAAAGTCTCTGAAAGCAAGCTCCCATAGGCAATAGTTTTGGAGATAATTGAGTCGGAATATGGATTTTTTGTTAAAAAAATGATAAAAAATATATATATATATACGGTGGTTTTTCCGGAAATTACTAGTTTTTGGTTAATGTGAGCATTTTTTGAGTACAATGGGGTGAGAATATGTGGAAATGAATGTAATAATTTTTTTCTCTTTGAGAAATTTTGATTTTTAGCGTTATTTTCGGATTTTTGAGTATTTTTTTGTTATTTAAGAGCCTATAACTCCGAAATTTGACTTTCTATGAAAAAATGTTGTAGAGGAAAGTTGTTTGTATTTTTCTAATCTAAAGTAATATAAGGTTAAAAACATTGAAATTTGAAAAAATTGAATTTTTAAATTTTTGAAAGTACTGTAGTTTGTGTAATTTTCGACGAAAATGGCTGGCTAACGAACTCGATCTGTATTTTAACACTAACTTTGTGCATGCAAAGTTGCAAGTTGATACAATAAGTTTTTCAAAAGTTATCGTGGCGACACCATTGTGTCTACAGACAGACACGAAGACAGACATACGGACAGACACTTTTTTTAGACCATGTTTTTCGGACTCAGGGGACCCCAAAACGTCGAGATTTCATGAAATTAGCGAAAGTCAATTTTCGACCAAAACTAATACTTTCTCATCACGGTGAGCTTGGATGAAATTCAACCCAAAAGTCATGACCCTTTCTGGTTTATTTTTGATATTATTTAAGTGATGTCTAATAATCATTTTAAGATAAAAATTAAAATAATCGTTGGAGGGAAACTCAAATTATATTGATTTTTTAATTTTTTTTCTAGGTTATTGTACATATTTTCTGAAGGATAATGTTTTAAACAATATTTATTGCTTCAAAAGATATCTTTTAACATTAAAAAACATTCTATTTAGTAAAAACAATATTTTAATATTTATAAAGCTAAAAAATTGTCGAAAAAGTGTGAATTTTTTCGTTTTTCTGAAAATTACTCTTTTATAAGTCATGAAACACTACTATTAAATAAATATACTATTAAATATATTAAATAAATATACTATTAAATATATTAAATATATATACTATTAAATTAAAAATCGTTAATGGAATTTCGTTGAATTTTCTAAAATAAATGAACATGATTTCTGTTAGTTCAATAAAAAGTTTATTTATTTAAAATTGTTTAAAATTAAACTTTTTTAAACATAATTATTATTATATGGTTTTCAAGTAAGGTCCAGAAAAAAAGATTTCACCAAAGAAACTGGACTTAATGACAAATTTCAATTACTTTTTCATTAAAAACGAACTTTAAATCATCATATTTCTGTAACGACAATAGATAGAATAGTTTTTCTTGTTTAGTTTTCTAGGAAATTTTATGTACTTTAAATTACATTTGCATAATAGTAGTGTTTAATGACTTATGAAAGAGTAATTTTCAGAAAAACGAAAAAATTCACACTTTTTCGACTTTTTCGACAATTTTTTAGCTTTATAAATATTAAAATATTGTTTTTACTAAATAGAATGTTTTTTAATGTTAAAAGATATCTTTTGAAGCAATAAATATTGTTTAAAACATTATCCTTCAGAAAATATGTACAATAACCTAGAAAAAAATTAAAAACTCAATATAATTTGAGTTTCCCTCCAACGATTATTTTAATTTTTATCTTAAAATGATTATTAGACATCACTTAAATGATATCAAAAATAAACCAGAAAGGGTCATGACTTTTGGGTTGAATTTCATCCAAGCTCACCGCACTGTTTTCCCACCAATGGCTCGGTTATTTTCGCAAGCATCGGACCTAACACTCTGTTTATTCTTTCGACTTGGCCATTGGCCTTCGGTGATGCTGTCGCTATCAATACATGGTTGACATTATTTTCGTCGATAAAATTTTTAAAATCACTTGAAGTAAAGCAAGTTCCTCTATCAGACACGATGGTTTTTGGTCGACTATAATTATAAAAATATTCTCGTAAACATTTAATTGCCTCCCTCGTGTCCGTAGATTTTACTGAATATAATTTCACAAATTTTGTAAAACCGTCTACAATTAACAAAATATGTTGTTTCGATGCTATTTTTTTATCTATGGGGCCGAAGTGATCAATGTGACAGGTTAAAAAAGGTTTATCCCCTTTGGGAATTGGATGCAGAAATCCTTCTTTTTTTCCCGTCGATGGAGAAAAAGCCACACACTTTAAGCAGTTTGCGATGTAAATTTTAATTTTTTCTTTTAATCCTGGAAACCAATAGTTTCTTAAAATTATTTCGCTTGTTTTCTCTACCCCGAAGTGACCCATTTCGTCATGATATTTTTTCATGATGTGATTCTCCATCTTCTCCGGTACGTAAAAAAGAATTTTCTCTCCACGTTTTCTATAAATAAGGCCATTTCTCATTTCATACAACTTGTCGTCAGAATTTTGTAGTTTTTCGCGTAATTCTTTAATTTTCGGATCGAGATTTTGACAGATAGATAAATTTGACTCTAGACTATTGTCTTCAACAATCATAATAACATTAACAGCACGGCTAAAAGCGTCGACATGTTGCATCTTTTCTCCCGATCTATGCTCAAACGTTTTATCATAATTTTCCAATTCTAGAGCCCACCTACTTATGCGAGGATTTACTTCTTTTTTATCGAGGGTCAGTTTCAACGAATTACAGTCTGTTACAATCTTGAATTTAATACCCTGCAAATAAATCCGGAATCGTTTTAAAGCGTAAATGATTGCCAGGGTCTCCAATTCAAAACTGTGGTATTTACTCTCGACCTCGGTGGTTCTTTTTGAAAAATAAAAGATCGGGTGAAAGTGTCCGTCTTTTTTACGCTGTAAAAGTACTGCACCATAACCTAGTTTGCTGGCGTCACAGTGCAGTTCTGTTTCGTCTCGTGGGTCGTATATACTTAAAACCGGTGTCTCTGTGAGTTCTGTTTTTAATTTTTCGAAACAATTTAATGCGCGATCGTTAAATTTAAACTCAATTCCTTTTTTTAATAATTCATAAAAAGGAGCAGCTATAATTGAGAATCCTTCTACAAATTTTCGGAAGTAGGCACATAGTCCCAGAAAGCACTGAACATCTCGTATGTTACGCGGGATGGGAAAATTAACAACAGCTGAGATGCCATGATCCGTTGGTTTCAATCCCTCAGCTGTCACTTTATAACCGAGGTATTCTATCTCTGTTTGTAAAAAAGTGCATTTGTCTAAACGTAATTCAAGTTTATTGTCAACCAATATTTTAAAAACTTTTTTTAGGATTTTAAAATGTTCTTCTAAATTTTCGGAGGCTACCAGTATGTCGTCCAAATAAACAACTACTTCACCCGATCTTATAAGTTCATCCAGAACCGTGTTAACGAATCTTTGAAATTTGGCCGGTGCCGTCTTCAAACCAAAAGGCATCTTCAAATACTCAAACTGACCGAGAGGAGTTATAAACGAAGTATATTTAACTGATTCCGGTTCAACATCAATATGGTGAAACCCATCTCGTAAGTCGAGCAAAGAAAAAAACCGTTTATTGTATAATTTGTCGATCTGATCCTCAATGAGAGGAAGTGGGTAATTGTCTCGTAAAATAAGTTTATTTAGAAAACGGTAATCAACACAAAGTCTATATTCACCGTTTTTCTTTCGAACCATAACAATCGGTGCCGCGTATATTGAATCGCTAACTCTAATTATCTTATGGGCAATTAATGAATCTAAAATTTTTTGCAAATGCTCCTTCTCATTAAATGACATTCTTCGAGGACCAAAATAAATAACCTGATCGCTTGTCAAGCGTAAACACAACTGTGTCTTGACATTTGGACTCTCCGGTCGCTCTGGATTTTTATAATCAGTTAAAAATAATTTCTTTAATAAAATTTGAGTCTTTTTATCGATATTCGGATTTATTTCCAATGCAATTGTATCATTGGGTTCAGAAACGTTAATATTAAAAATTTCCCTAATCGCCCCAGCTTCTAGTGCGGGTAGAGCTCGTAACCCTAAATTAAATTTTGTTAAAGCATTTCTACCCAGAACGACCGAAGAATTCATTGTGATATTTGGAACAACCAACAATTCTATTTCATGACTTACATCATTCATCGTTACACAGGCAACAGTCACACCTACAAAATCAATAACGCTATTATTTACACCATTATAACCATTACCTGTATACGGTGAGATACTTCCTGCTGGTACAAGATGCTCCTTGATAAAGTTAATTGGACTTCCAGTATCCAGAAGTGTATCAAGAAAGCGCGGTCCATCCTCGACGACGTTGAATACGTAGGAAATTGTCTAAAATACTTCAAGGTCGAGTGGATTCTCGACAAGACCATCTCTCTGTGACTGATACTCTCGACGCTCTGCTTCGACGTTATTCACTTGGTGTTTTTCCTGCTGCATTGGTTTCTTATTTGGGCAATCCTTCCACTGATGGCCCACCTCAAAACATTTAAAACAGCCACCTTTCGGTCTAACAGGTTGCCTACAATCCGTAGCTAGATGTCCAAGTTTGCTGCAATTGAAGCATCGTGTCGGGATTCCCTTCTTATTCGGCTTGTGATCTTTTGTTTCGGGTTCAGAATTGGAATTCAATGTAACGGAATTTTTCCTATTTTCTGAGACATGTTTCGAGTCATCTTTTAGTGTTATTTTTTCGAAGGCCTGTAATAAATTATTCTTTTCCTTAAAACACTGAATTCGGGCCTGGTTATGAAGAGTTGCTTCCGGAATTCCATCTATAAGGTAGTCGATATGTTCCGATTCGTCAATGGGTACAGAATTCGCCAAGATCAATTTCTCGTGGAAATAGTCGCTAAACGACTCAGAAGATTTCCAATTTCGACTTTCGAATTTTTTTCTTAAGGTTAATCGGTCCTGCTGATGGTCAAACATAGTCGAAAATTTCTTGAGTACATCGTTTAAGGGCATTCTAATGAACTCCGGCTTGGAGTGGAACCATCTCAGGGCTTTTCCTTTCAGCTTCGCTCCCATCAACAACCGTCCATGATCATCATCTAGTCCATATGTGGTAAGAACTAACTGGAATTGCTCTTTCCATCTTCGCAATTCCGCGCCTGTGCCTTCAAAATCACTCAACAAGTCTTTCAATGAGTTGATATTGATGTGTCGAGTAGGCTGCTGATTTGTCAAATGAGTTGGTGTCTGACGTAAAATTTCCATCTCCCTTCGTGTGAGCTCGAGTTCCTTCGCCATCAAATCGCGTTCACGGCGCAGAAGTTCCATCTCTCTTTCATTATTTCTTTCTGACTGACTTCTCGGATCAGGTGTGTGACGACTCGTTGAATCGTGGAATTCAGAATCATCACCCTCGTGATTATAGTGACCGTCTGTTTGGATTCTAACAGCTTCTTCCAACCAATCATTTTTAGGGTCAGACTCTTGAAGGCGCCTAATTATTTCTGCCTTAGTACCATAACCCACTAATTCACGTCGCTTGCAAACTTCTTTGAGAGTGGACACTGTGAACTTTGATGGATCCATTTTATTCGAAAAAAACACACGAATCACAAAAATTATATTCTTCTAAAGACTTCAGTTTTTATTTTACTAATAATGATGATTATTCACTTAAGTTCATTCAACAGAAGTTTGTTATGGTTCGGAAAAATTTCGTTGAAGCGATTCATAACACTTCACAATAACACAATATATTTCCTTGCCACACACAGAAGAGGACACAAGAACACTCTCTATACTGTGTAAACACCATTATTTTTTCCCACTTAACGAAACGTACATTTGCAAATCACAGCGACTCATCGCGTTCTTCTTTGAGAACTATTATACGGCACTTTTCAGAATCGCCATATTTTAACTTCCTTAAGCACTTTCCAATATCGAGCACATTATATTTCTAGGACCTTTAGATACAAATAATCATTTTTATTTATGATTATTCGAAACTGATGATTTTTTAGAACTAATTAGGGCACTTTTTTCCACGCAAAAGCATACTTTATTTGGGAATATCCAATTCAAGCTGAGCACATGGTAACTCGCGTCGTTTAGATTTACGGCCAGAACTAAACCGTGAACTGGTAAGAATTAAGATAAAAAGTTAAAAAAAAAAGAACTTTTTTATCACAGTGCATTTGGGCGAAAGGTAGAATAATCCCACTTCTGATTTTTGTGAGGGAATTAATACTACAAATTACTATTAAAAGGCACGTTTATTAAAATGATACATTTGGCTTCATGGTTCGCCATAGACTGCCTCTCTTCTTTCCTTGCTTATCAAAGCCAGTGACGTCATTACTAATACATATTAAGATACAATTGTCTGTGACTATGAAACTCCTTACATTAATTAAACATTGTTTAAACAATAATTAATTGTTGTTATTTTTTTCATAAACTGTACTTAGGGTTAGAAATTTAGTTTTTTCAATCGTGCAATTTTTGTATGAAAAAAATCTACTGATGATAAAAAATAATTTATTTAAAAATAAATGTAAATTAAATATATATATATATATAGTTTTTTTACTATAAAAAGTTGCATTATTGGCAAAAATGAAAGAATTTCTAGCCCTAAATTTATAATCAATGGAAAAATTATTAATTGTTTAAACAATGGTTAAAAAATATTCTTTTAGTTTTACTAAATTATACTTAAGTATTTTAATTATAAAAAAATTTTACAATTGAGAAAAAACTAGAAATTTCTAGCCCTAAGTACAGTTTATGAAAAAAATAACAACAATTAATTATCGTTTAAACAATGTTTAATTAATTTATTTTTTATCATTAGTAGATGTTTTACTCAATGAAAAATTGAGAAATTGAGAGAAGACTAGAAATTTTTAGCCCTAACTAACTGTTTATGGAACAATTACAAAAATTAATTGTTTAAACAATCAATTAAATTGTTATAGTTTTTTTCGTCCATAAGAAACACTTAAACATTATTTTAATTTTTTTTTTGATATTCTTCTGATATTCTCTTATATTCCCGCGTCAAAGGACCGCTGCGCGTGACGTCACATGCAAATCCCGTTCTGCTCGGGATAAACAATGTTTAAATAAGTTAGTTGTCAAAGCCGTGCCACTTTTTTTCTCAACGGAATATTACTCAGTGGTAATTAGAGAATAAATACTATTTTTTTCATTTTAAAATTCGATTGCGAACATGGTTTTTTGCTAATTTGTTATAAATAAATAATTGGTTTATTTATTAAATTTCAATATTTTTTTACGAAAAAAAAATTATTCAAAACTTTAACTCAAATAAAATAGAATGCCTTTTGGATCATTAAAATCGGTTAACAAGTTTCTTTTTAGTTAATTTAAAAAAAAGTTGTAACACGGTGTTACAAATTCTCCCGCGTCTGTCGCGAATGAGGCGATTGAACCCGGAAACGGCCGAAGGGCCTCGAGGGTGTCAATCGTCGAATTCGCGAGCAGACGCGACACTTGTTACTGAGACTCGTACTTAACACCTGTGTCGTGATATTCTGTTCGCCTTTCTTTTCGATCTAGTGGTGACTTGTGATCAAATTCGACGGATATTTTGAGTAAGTCAAATAAATATTATATTATAATATTTCTTTGTTTCTCTTTTCCTTTCCCTCCTTTTCCCCTTATAATTGGAAATTCGGGCCACCAATTATAAATTGGCGCCCAACGTAAAAATTCACCTTTCTCATTTCCCTTCTGTAAAAAAACAATTTTTTTTCAACATCTTCGTTTGTTGAAAATTCCCAAAATAACTTTTTCATCATCTTCGTTTGTTGAAAATCCCCAGAAAATTCATTTTTTTCATCATTTTTTAATTGTTGAAAATTCCACCTGTCACCTCATGGTCGCCTAATCTCGAAACCAAATCTTTCCTTTTTCCTGTTTCCCATATTTAATTGTGTATCTTATGTTTTGTGCATGAATATTATTGATCTTGACATTATTGTAAACATTCTTGTATTGTGTTTTTCTGACAAATGTGACAAATTTTCTTTGTGACGGACGCAGACAAGACAAAATTTCTGTGAAAAAGTGCGCGTTAAGACCGGTAAAAACTAATCGTGAAAAATTCCTTGAAATCTTGACTAAATTCGTGAAAATTAACGAAAATTAGTGAAAATTATTGAAGAAACGGAAAATAAAGTCGAGAGTTAAAAAGAAAAAGTGAATTTATCGATTGTTTTTAAGAGAAAAGTTGGTCGTTGAAAGACGCCGGTTTGTTTTGTTTTCGTGGTCAAGGTAGTGTGTAACATTGAACAAAATAGTAAACACGAAAATTTTCGCGATTAATTCGGAAATAATTTTGTCAACTTAGAAATAAAATTAATATACCGGTTGACAAATAAAATTGAATGAAATAAGTTGAAAAAATAAAATTTTTAGAAAATCAAGACTTATACCGGGTGTCTCTAAAGTTTAAACTTAGAATAACAACTTGCGAAAGGGGGTGTAAGGGGTAACACTTCGTTCCGTTCAGGGGAAGGGGGGTGTAACACGGTGTTACAAATTCTCCCGCGTCTGTCGCGAATGAGGCGATTGAACCCGGAAGCGGCCGAAGGGCCTCGAGGGTGTCAATCGCCGAATTCGCGAGCAGACGCGACACTTGTTACTGCGACTCGTACTTGACACCTGTGTCGTGATATTCTGTTCGTCTTTCTTTTCGATCTAGTGGTGACTTGTAATCAAATTCAACGGATATTTTGAGTAAGTCAAATAAATATTATATTGTAATATTTCTTTGTTTCTCTTTTCCTTTCCCTCCTTTTCCCCTTATAATTGGAAATTCGGGCCACCAATTATAAAGTGTTTGAAAACTTAAATTGTTTATAACAATAACATAAATTTTTTTTTGGTAAATTCTTTGATATAGTGATTTTTTATATAAAGCACTATAGAAAAAACAACATTTTAGCCAAAAATAAATTTTTTGAATTTTAGGTGGCACGTTTTAAAAATTCTTACTCAGGTTCTAAATTTCGACTTAAGGTACTAAATAATTTTTATTACTCAAAAACTTTACATTAAAATATATTGTTCTTTAGTTAGCAAATATGAAATGTCTTGATGTTTAACATTTTATTTTTCACTGGAGTAATCTTTGGAAAGATTGCACCCTCTGTAGAGTACAGAACAATCTTCACCGCGAAGGCCTGCTGCTCCAGCATCTTCTACAAGACGATTCCATCCTGAAGATTCATCCAAAGTTTCTTTGATACTGCGCCTGCAACCATGTACTTTACGTTAAAAATAAAGTAATAAACAAAGTTGCAAAACTTAAAATAAGCTTCTATATTCTTAAGTACTATAGTATCAGGTAATATGTTCACGGGTTGTTTTGAAAATTTTTGAATTATTTATAATATTTTTTGCTATTTAGAAAATTTTAAAACTTTTTATTAAAATTATTTATAAAATTAAGTTTCCGCACAAATCAAACAAAACTTTGTGAATATAACAGTGAGTTAAAGTACTATTAAGTGATTTAATGAAAATTTAAAACAATTTAAAATAAATTAAAAATAATTAAAAATTTAAAACAACGGGTTTAAAAATAGTCCTCAGCCAAAAATTTTAATAGATTTTAAAATTTCATTTTTCACATTTACGAATAAATTTTAAAGAGATCTCTTGAGGTCTATTTAAAATTTTTGTAAACTGTTGTTATAATAAAAAGAAATAGTATTTTCTTTTAGTTTTTGAAGTGTAAGGTTTGGTAAATAGGGGAGACTAGCTGCGGTTATTACGCTGTGCAGTTGTTACAAATGGAATATCTCAGAAACAGTCAGTTATAGAGATGGGGATCAAAAGAGAAAAATGTTTAGTTTTTATGTACGAACTTACTGCAATATGTTTAAAAAGTATATGCAAGTTTTATAAGTAAAAAATAGGCAAATTAGTTTTTAGAGGGATTTTTTAAAAACAGGTGTTAGTTTATAACAACTTTATTCATTGAAACCTAATATTAAGATTACGCCAATTCTTTAAATTATGAAGCAGTGACTTCGAATAACTTTGTAGGTAAGTTTAAATCTAATCTAATTTTTTACGTAACTTTTCAACTTATTCCCTACACATAAAGATTACATTTATACTTGAGGTAAATTTTTTCCTTAATTTTCAACCCTCAACTATAAAAGTAGGTCACTTTTGACCTACATTTTGACACATGAGTAAGAATTTTGAAACGTGCCACCTAAAATTAAAAAAATTTATTTTTCGCCAAAATGTTGTTTTTTCTATAGTGTTTTATATAAAAAAAACAGTATATCAAAGGATTTGCCAAAAAAATTTTTTTTTTATTATTATAAACAATTAAAGTTTTTAGACACTTTTTTAAAAAAAATTAATTAAAAAGAAACTTGTTAACTGATTTTAATGATCCAAGAGGCAATCTTTTTTATTTGAGTCAAAGTTTTGAATAAAATTTTTTTCGTAAAAAAATATTGAAATTTAATAAATAAACAAATTATTTATTTATAACAAATTAGCAAAAAACCATGTTCGCAATCGAATTTTAAAATGAAAAAAATAGTACTTATTCTTTGATTACCATTGAGTAATATTACGTTGAGAAAAAAATGGCACGGCTTGAACTGTTAAGCAGAGTTTTGGGTGATAAAACGAATAATTAACGAGTAAGATTTAAAAGAGTTGAATATATTTAATAAAGACGATTCTAGATACACAAAGATAGGTACTATACGTAGTGAGGTTAACACATTACTGAAAAAGTATTTAATATGTCCGTAGAAGGAAGTGTGTCGCTTTAAGAACATAAAAGATTACGTACATCCGTATTTGAGTGTAGAAATGGCGCGATAGTTTGAACAACTTTGACACACCGCCTCAAGTTAAGCGATATTTGAATCTAAAATAAATTTCATTCCCATTTTACTAATACACATTTGATGCTTGTCTTTAGACAAACCCTTTGTAAGAACGTCGGTAGGCATTTTGTCCGTCTGAATATAAGTGATATCAACGAGTTGATTTCGAAGAGCTTCCCTGACGAAATGATGCTTCACGTCGATATGTTCACTTCGAGAATGGAATGTGTGATTTTTGGCAAGTTGTTGTGCCCCTTGATTATCATTCCCGTTTGTTATTTTCCTGGCGTCATTGAATCCGAGATTAGAAAGAAATTTTCGGAGATAAATGGCTTCTTTGACGGCCTCAGTTAAACCCATATATTCCGATTCGGGCGAAGACAATGCTACAGTACGCTGCTTTCGTGACTCCCATGTCACAGCTCCATTACTCAGTGTAAAAACGAATCCTGTGAAAGATCTACGATCAATTGGACACCCCGCCCAATCTGCATCCACGAAACCCTCGATGAAAGACGAAGTCTTAGTATAAACAATACCCAAATCGATTGTACCTTTTAGGTAACGCAGAACTCTTTTAGCGGCTGTCCAATGTTGCTCTTCATGGAGTCGTTGAATTGACTTAAGCAGCTGGTGAGATATATCAGGTCTCGATACAACGGCCAAGTAATTGAGAGCTCCGATCGATTCGCGGTAAGGTCTCTTATTATGATTATTTTCTCCATTGATGCAATTTTTCTCGAACTTCGTTCCTCCGACTATTGGAATTGATACAGATTTTGCTTCTTGCATATTGAATTTATTTAAAATGCTCCTGATGTATGTGGACTGCGAGATGCTTATCGAGTTCTTCCCTCTCGATACTTCAAAACCCAATCAATGTTTAATTTCGCCTAAATTCCTTACTTCCAATTTTTTAGAAAGACCTGAAACAATATAATTTAAATAAGTCTCTTTTCGAAAGGCGACAAGAATGTTATCTACGTATACCAGAACTATTAAAATATCTCCATCAGATTGAAGATGATATACGCAAGGATCTGCTTCGTTGGATTTCAAGTGCAAATTTTTCAATATTTCATCGAGTCGCTTGTTCCACTAATGTCTGGCTTGTTTTAATCCATAGATAGATCTTTGAAGCTTACAAACCTTGTTGTCTGAGTTGAGTTCCTTTAACATGTTAACTGCTCGATTTCCAATCGAACTACGAGCTCCATGACATTGAGCGATTTTCTCGAGTGAATCTTTCAGTAATTTCGGTTTCTCCATAAAGATTTCTTCATCTATTGTCCCGTTAAATTAAGCCGCAGTTATGTCTAATTGTTGAATTAATAGATCGTATTTCACGGCGAGGGCAAGCAATAGACGTATCGAACTAAGGCGAGCAACAGGGGTAAAGGTATTATTGTAGTCAACTCCAGGCCTTTGACTGAATCCCTGAGCTACAACTCTTGCTTTCCTCTTTTCTATTTCTCCCTTCGCATTATATTTATTTCGGAGTACGGTTCTGCTGTCAATAATATTCTTTTCATTAGGACGATCGACTATTGTCCAAGTATCCTTCTTGATAAGGACCTCTATTTCGTCTGTGACTGCTTCTTTCCATTCACTGGCATCAGTTCCTTCCATCGCCTGTTTCCAAGATACAGTAGAAACTACAAATGCCTTGTGCTTGAAGTTGCTGCAGAAAATTGAAAGTCTGCGTTGCATCTCATGATATTGTAATCAATGCCTAAATACTTGTCACTAAAACATGTGTCATCGTTGGTCATCAATATGAAAAATATATACAAACTTGAAAATTGTATAATTTATTGAAAAATATGTATAAACATCAAAATTAATGAAGGTTAATGGAAGTCAATGGAAGCAAATATTTTGCATAGTGAAATTCGTGATTGTCAAATCATTTTGCAGGTTGAAAGATAAGTATAATCAACATTTATAATTTCAAAATAAAGGTTAAATAGAATAAAAACATTACAAAATGCATAATAATTTTCTTATAAAGTTTGTTTTATAAAAGTGAATAATATTTGACTAATTTGTAATTTAAACTTTTATTATTTTTAGTAAAACTAACAAGTGTAATAAAAAATTAAAAGATGAGAAAAATAAGGTTATATTTGAGTTTCGAAAGAATTGTAAATAATATGTATTGAAAATAATTAAATTTATTTTTATTACTAATTTTATTTAACTTTATAATATTATTCAGTTACTTGTAAAATTATTTCTGAAAATTTTTCTATTTTATTTATCATGTAATAATAGAACAAGAATTGGTTAATTTATTTTTTGTTCTAGGAAAATAAAATATAGTAATGAGAGAATATAAATTTATTATCAAAAAGCTGTTTCCAGATAAATATGAGGACTTGATTTACAACGAGTATTAGGATCAATTGAAGGACAAGATTTAAGGCGTGTTTTAAAATCAATTGAAAGACTAGATTTTGGACGAATTTTAAGATGAACTCATGAACCTCGATTTCGGAGAAATTTTCTGAAATTATAATAAAATTGAAAAAAATATAGAATCTTTTTAAAAAATTATATTATTAGATTATATTATTAACTGTCAAGAACGCGAATCACTTTATTTTAATTTTATTATTATGCTCAAATTTTGTTATTTTTAAATATAACGTTTAATTTTTTAAGTATTTTGATGAAAAATTTAAAAAATTTATTTATTTACAATTAATTGGATTATTTTCTGGATTAATAAAATTATTTTGAGTTATTCAATTATTTTAATTACAATTTTAACAAAAGTTCTTTATCAAACTTAATTATTTTGGAAGTTTCTTTAAAAATTGCTAGAAAAAATTTAATTTTTTTGGAAAAATTTAGATTAAATTCCTTTGAAGATATCAATTAATTTCAGTTTATTTTCAATTAAATTACTTGAAAGAATAATATTTTTTTCCAATACATCTGAATTCGCAAAAATTTAATTAAAGCTGGTGAAACTAGTATACTTAATTTTTTCGACAATTAAACATCAAATTTTTGGCTGATGATTTCTAAAATTTTAATCCTATTGCGACTCTTTATCATAGTAGCATAGGATGGCGAAAAAAATACCCAATGAATTAATAACTTTTATTTTAAGTAGATAATAATACCTAATTGATTTTTTAATATTATTAAAGTAATACAAATATTTTTTATTTTGATGGAGAATAGTTAATAAATGGATTTTAGTTAAAATTATGGATAATAATTGAACATTAAATGCATTATAGAGTAAATTTTAAAAGATAGGTTTCAAACTAAAATCTTTGAATATCTGAATTTTTCAAACTTTTAACAATTCTGCAGAATTTAAAAAATTATTTCATGTTTCTCTTTTCTAATGTATAATTAATTGAAGAATTTTTGAATAAACGAAATTTCGTGTAAAATTAAATTGTAAGCAAATGGATTTGACAATTCTCACAGAACTTTTTCAAAAATTATTAAAAATAATTGATTTAAAGAAAAATTTTAGTTAAAAATTTAAAAAAATGATAATTGAATTGAATTCATGAAAATAATTTTGAACAAGTTACAGAAACAATATTCTTATAATATAAAATAATAATTTTATCACTCGGTCATTTTAAATTATTACGAAATATGAAGACATCATTAAAAATTTTAATTTATGTATGCTTGTACTGCAACTATCGTTATTCAACATTTGGCTTGACATTCGGTGCCACAACAAAAAACTTTAAATAAATAATTTGAATCCTTTTATTCACCACGATGTATGGAAAAAAATTAGTATTTCGTCCAAAAGCCATTTTTTTCGATAACATTTTGAAGGCGCCTTGGCATAGAGTAAATACAATTTGCGGCAATTTCTGGGGCATTTCGTAAATTTTCCCAACTTTGATATGCATGGTTAATCAGGTTTTCTAAATTTCTATCTTGATCTGATTGCCAATCACTCACAACAGTTGCCCAAATATTTTCAATAGGATTTAGATCAGGTGAGTACGGAGGATGAGGCAATAAAGTAATTCTATCATGTCGTTCGTACCAATTTTGAGTCAAACGAGCACTGTGAATCGGACTATTGTCTTGCACTACTTTAACTTCTTCGTGCTCGTTTACAGGGAACATTCTGTTCATGTAAGGAAGAAAAACGTTTTCCAAAATGTCTACGTAACCTCTAGAATTTAATCTCCTATTGACCTCTTGCAACTCGCCTACTCCGTGAACAGAAATGCATCCCCAAAAGTTGCAAGAAATTCGACTACTACGCTTTTTAGAGACAACACATTTCTCACTGAGTCTGCTTTCCTTATTTCTCCAGACACGTCGACGGCCATCTTCTGTGGTTGAAAACGTTTTTTCGTCCATAAATATAACGTTTGACCAAAATTCTGGAAGTTCTGGTAAGTACTGTAGAGCATATCCTATGCGTTCCTCACGATGAGCGACATTTAACGCAAATTTTACGGCAGGAATACGGCTCTTAATTCCCATCTCATTCAAATGCCGTCTGACTGTTTGCACACTGATGTTAGCACCTATACGATTCACAAAATCTGCTGATGAACAAAATGGATTCTCAGTAAAATATTCATTAATTACTTCTTCCTGGATAACGTTAGTTTTTCTTGGGGGACGATTATATCTCCGATGATCCATTAAAGATCGTGATCCTCCGGCAGCGTGTCGGTTGATCCATAAACGAACCGTATTGACAGAGCAACCAACTACGTTGGAAATTTCTCTTACAGTGCTCCCCGATAAATTCATTCCAACAATAAGACCGCGATCTGCTTCTAAATATTAATAGACAAATAATAGAAATAATTTATTGAATAATAAATGAAGATTTGTGTATAAAAGAATATGTAGATAGTTGGATGAATGAATGAATATATAATAGCATAAAAACATGCATTATTTATTGAGAAACATTTTTAAAACAAATTTTGTTAATAAACTACTTGTAGGGGATTCCATACAAATTACAGGGTGGCCGCTGGACCGGGAAATGCCAGGGAATTTTTTTGGACCGGAAAAAACCGGGAAATGGCAGTGAATTTTGATTTTAACCGGAATTTTAGAAATTTTTTTTGAAAAACACTGATTATTTTGTGAGAAAAAATAGAAATATTTATTTTAAGACTTATTAATTATATTTCATTAGAAAAATTGAATAATCTTCTATAAAATCGTTTTATTTTGTCAGGAAATTTTATCAAAAGTACTATAAAAATAATCCATTTCTAGAATTTATAAGAAAATTATGAATTTTGTTGTCCAACGTAACATACTTAAAAAAAGAATATATTAAATTTAATTTTAAATTTTTTCTATTTCTAACAATAATTAAACAAAATATAATTTTAATTCAATTCGTCGAAAATATTTGAAACAGAAAAAATTTCACATCCTATAAAATAGTGAAAAATAAATCAATTTAAATTTTTTTTTTTGTAATAATATTATAATAAAACAAATTTGAATTATTAAAAATTTGAATTAATTAGAACAAAAGTGATACGAAATTTATCAAAATTAATTTTTACATAATGAATAAAGTAAATAAAAAATAAATAAAATTTCTTTTCTTAGAAAATAAATTTTTAAAAAACCGTATTTTGCATTAACATCAATTCGTTTTTTTACAATTATTTGTAAACAACTTTTTCTATATTTTTATGAATGTTAAATTAAAATTAATAATATTAACGTAAATTGAATTTTAAAAAGTTTCAAATTGAAGTTTTGTAAAAGTTGAATTGTAAAAGATTTTAATTAAAAATTCTGAATAAGTTAGTTTTTTGAAACATTTTTATCCACTTTTTTTTCAAATTAATTATATTTTTAAATATATAATATTTAATTGAAAAACTTTCAAATTATTCAAAATTTCATGAAATTGTCTTGTAAACAAATGGATTTTAGAAATATTTTAATTAAAATTTCTAGGAAATAGTTGAAATGAAATTTTGAAAATAATTTTTAATAATTTACAGTAGCATTTATAAAAATTATTCGAGTTTAAAGGATTTGAAATTTTAGTTTTTTTTTAAATCTTCCTATGGAAAAATAATCAATAATAATTAAATATTTATTTCAAAAAATCTATTTAAGTTCCAAATGATTTTACAGTTAAAAATATTCAAAAAATGTATTATACACATATTTTGGAGTTTCATTTATTTTTAGAGTAAACTAAAATATTTTAAGGTTTTGAGAAAAAGTCAAAGTTTTGTATAAAAATCAGGGAATTTTTTCAATTATTCATGGAATAATTTATTTTCAGAGTTATTCTTTATGACCGGGAAAAATTATTTATAACCGGGAAATGCCCGTGAATTATTTTTATAAAAAAAGTGGTCACCCTGTAATTACTTTAAAAATGAAGTACCTTTCTGAATAAAGCATAATTACTTTTAATCTTAATTTCAAAACACATCTTTGAAATATGCTGTGTGAGAAAAAATTTAAAAACATTTTACCCAAGGATGATTGGAATTTTAAATTAAGTCAATATATGGAATATCTGTTATTTGAATTTCACTTTTAAAAATTTCTTATGTAATGTAAAAAAGTGTTTTGTCTTAGATATAAAATTAGAACTGTATAATAAATTTATTTAATGGACATGAAAATTTAGAGGTTGGATCAAATATTACTTCTGAAAATTTTTTATTTATAAAAATATTAAAATTTAAACTTACCACTTAAATTAGCAAATATATGTCGATTCATCATTATTTATAAAATTTTATTCACAAGAAAATAATTTCTATGTAAAATCTTATCTGAATAAAAGCTAGAAATACATTTCACTTTTTTCAACTATTTATTTTATTTAGTCTGAACGTATAGACATATGGTAAATGAACTGAAAAAATGTACTTTTGGAACAAACTTCAAGATAGCTTAATTTGTATAGAGGTGTTTCTATGTAGGTTGGAAGAAAATTATGACAATTTTCTGATTTTGCAAAAATTTTTTTACGGCACTTTAATTTGAAGTTTAATTTTGTTTTCTATTTTTTTCTATTTGGTTTGTTGATTTTCAAGGATTCTATACCAATTCTACGAAAAAGTGTTTTTTCCCCATGCATTTTACATGGGATACTGAGCGGTTTGAGCGACCTCTAAATATTTCTTTATTTTAAAAAAATAGGGGTATTTTTTTTCTCTATATAAAACAATCATAAGCGGTGAGAGCATTAAAATTCCGATTTTTTTTCCCATGCATTTTTTTTGGACCACCCTACTGAACAACCTGAGTATTCTGTCGCATTTACTATATATTCCATTTTTTAAACACTTAAGATTGCTCAATTAAAGAACCAGAAAAACCATAGGAAATAAATACGTATTTTTATCCATTATAATTCATAAAAATATAATAGGAACATAAATAGAAAATATTATAATTATTTCAAAAATTGATAGCTACAAGTAAAAATTTTTATCGTCAATGCACAATTTCGCTTATGTTTTAAGCGTAATATTTCGCGTTGTATTTCAAAAAATCTTGAACACAGTAAACCTTCTGTGATATTGTTTCTTATGTTATAATTAATCATTATTGGGGGAGTAATTTAATTGAAAAAAATATGACAGTGTTATATACAGAATCGATTAGTTTTATAATGTTACTGTAAAATTAAATTATTTTAATAAAAATATTTATAAAAAATTAAGGTAATTACTGCCAAAATTCCTTTCTATGTAAAGCGACTAATAGGGAAAACATAATTATTAAAATAGAATCATATCTAAAAAAGCCCAATTTTTATTTAACTTGTTTTATAAAATAGAGATATTTTCTTAAAATTACACAATTTAATTGTGAATAAAACATAATTAATTTAAAATTCTAATAAATTGCGAACTTCTACTTTTTTGTTCCTCTCTTTTTAATAAAATTCCTCAAGAAAGAGAAAGTCTCCAGATATTCCACTTCATCTACAGATTTTACATCTTTTCTCGAAATTTTGCTGTATTTATCTTTAATTTTTGGCCACAATTCTTCGACAGCACCACCTGTAATTTCATATCATTAATTAATTTTTCTAATCAAAATTATTCTCATCATTTTAATACAATTATTATTTAGTAAAAAGATCTTTAACGTCCGAGATATAAATTGACTTATTTTATTCAATTATTATTTTCTAGAAATTAAAATTATTTTTCATGAAAATAAAAATTGAATTACTTAAAAAAATTCTATTATTTATGAAAATAATTGAATTGTAGTCAAATTTTTATTATTTATGAAAATAATTAAATGTTTGCATAAAATTTTATTAAACTTTTTTTTTAAATAATTGAATTCTTTTTGGAAAATTTTATTAAAATAGTAGATATTAAAATCATTAAAATTAGAAAATTCTTTTAAAATTATTGAAATTAGGACAAGAAATTTTTTGACATTTATGAAAATAATTGAAATTTGGAGAAGAATTTTGTTATTTATAAAGATAATTGGTATTTTTACGAGAATTTGTTTCGAATTTTAAACATAGTTGAATTTTATAAGAAGAATTTTATTTTTTCTTCAAATAATTGAATTTCTGCAATTATTTGAAAATTCTATTATTTTATTTAAAAAATTTTTCAAAAAAAATCAATTTTGTTTTTAAATCAGATTTTTTATTTTATAAATATATTTTAATAAAATTTCTTTAAAATAATTGCACTTTTCGCGGAATTCATTTAAAATTGTATGAAAAAATAATTGAAATTCTACAATGAGTTATATTATTTATAGAAATAATTGAATTTTTGCATCGATTTAAATTTAAAAAAAAATTAAATTCTTAAGAAAAATGATATTATTTAGAAAATTAATTGAATTCTTGCCCTTCAAATTATGCAAACAATTTTATTATTTTTGAAAATAATTTAATTTCTCAGAAGAATTTTATTATTTATGAAATTAATAGAATTCTATCCAAAAAATTAATTAAAATCTTTAAAATAATTGAATTCCTCACGAGAATTTTCTTACTTATGAAAATCATCGAATTTTTATGAAGAATTTTGTTAACATTTTCAAAAATAATTGAATTTTCCTGAAAGATTTAATTATTTATAAAAATAAAAATAATTGATATTCCATAAAAAATTTACTTATTTATAAAAATAATTGAATTCTTTACAAGAATTTTGATTTAAATCTTTGAAATAATTAAATTTCTCAGAAGAATTTTTCTATTTATGAAAATAATTGAATTTCTATGAAGAACTTTGTTAACATTTTCAAAAGTAATTGAATTTTCCTGAATTTAATTCCCATTTATAAAAATAATTGAAATTCCCTAAAAAATTTATATATTTATCAAAATAATTGAATTCTTTACAAGAATTTTGATTTAAATCTTTGAAATAATTCGAATGTTGCAAAGAATTTTATTATTTTTCGAAATTATGAAAATAATTGAATTTTTGTGAAGAATTATGTTAAAATTTTAAAAAATATTGAATTCCCCTGAAAAATTTAATTATTTATAAAAAAAAATTTGATTCTTTAGAAGAATTTTGATTAAAATCTTTGAAATAATTGAATTCTTACGAAAAATTTTAATATTTTTTATATTAATTGAATGTTTGAGAGGAATTTTTTTTTGAATAATAGAATTGTTTTGTGAAACTTTAGTAAAATAGTAATTAAAATTTGAATTCTTTTTGGGAAATTTTATTAATATAGTAGATATTGAAAATCATTGAAATTAGAAAATTTTTTGAAAATTATTAAAATCAAGACAATAATTTTTTTGACGTTTATGAAAATAATTGAAATTTGG